CTCTTATAACTTGTCCACAATACTGTTTGGTGTCAATTTATACAGACAGTCAATCATCTATCCAACTACTTGACAATAACATCACACCTAACACTACTTGCAATAAATTTAAAATCAAAAATTACTCTATAATATCCTCAACCCACCACATAAAAAAATCATTATCATTAAAAATATTCTTTCACATTCAGGCAATAAATATAATGATTTAGTTCATAACTTAGCTAAATCAGCTTTGCCTGAATACTCCAGGTAAATCCTTCTTTGGTTAGCTTGGTCTAAAGACTCTTATTGCTGCGCCATGCAGCCAAATTTCAAAATAGCAATTTTGTAATTCATTCAAAAATGTATATAATAAAATTTTTCAAAAAATAGGACTTCACGTGATTTTAGTTTTCTTACTGCCAAATTAAGATAGATAGTCAAGAGCTAGTCTAATTTTGGTATATTTTTCCTAAATTTAGAAATGATTATAATGGACAAATTCCTTGCGAGCATAGTAAAGTACATGTTTTAAAAAATAATCGAACTCTACAACAAATTTTTTTTTTGAGAAAATCTCTCTATTACATTAAAACTAAAATCATATTCTATCAACTAATAGAGCTATTTTTTTAAAAGGTAGGACAGAGAGTGACTTCTATACTTTTAAAATTTGCCCAAAATTTAGGAGGTCTTTATACCAAGCCAACTATATATATTTTAAATGTCATAAAATTAATATTAACGAAACTAAAAATTTAACAATCTATTTAAAAAAAGATGCATAATTTAAATGATGATTTGTCAGTTTGAAGAAGTAAATTTTCAAATATAGTATTGCCAAAAATTGCAAGATTTTTAAATCTTAGAATTTTCTGGAAACAAAATTTATCAAACGGGAAAACTCTTACCACACATACCTCGGTTACACGACAAGGTTTTTTTAAGATAAGACTTCCTTATTTTCTACCAATCATGGGGTTCTGGGTTGGGATTGGTAGGTGTGGTAAGAGTATTCATCAAACGGTCACACATAGACATCCTAAAATTTGTATGAATTAAAAGATTCTAAAGGCCTGTTTCAGTTTAATTTTGAAACCATCTAAAAATATAAAGCATGTTGTGAAGTTAGCAAATAAATCAGAAATGATTTGCAAAAAGTTGTACATGACAAAAATCTGAAATTATTATTAATTATTATTATTGTAATACTAATATTAAAACCAGTCCAATTTAAATGAATCATTATCCCATAGAATTACCTAAAGTGTTGACTAAACATAATTTATTTAATTCAAAAATTCTAAGAATTTAAAACCATTTGTTCACTTTAAAGAAACATGAATTTGTTCTACAAATGGAATGTTTAAATGGGGCATACTGCAACAAAACCAAACAAAGTGAACATTGGTATTACCAAGAATGTCAGTGATCAAAAATTTGGTTATCATCAATATTAATATGATTTATAATTTCATATTTGTTATCTTTTATTTTTCTTAAATGATATATATAACTATCCCTATATAAAAATAATATATAATATGAAATTAATTTACATTAGATCTACTATGGATCCCAAAAATTATAGTATTATCAGAAGTATTTTAAAAAAGGAACAAGGTGAAAAATTGCTCCTTATGTTTTCAAAATAAACAATACTCAGACACTTGAAGCTTATCTAAAAAAAGTAAGAATTACCTATGAAATTTACCAAGAAAGAAAAATAATAAACATTATGAAAAGAAAGCAGAATGAAAGTGTACTATTATCTAACAAAAGCAAAAATCTTTGGAAGAAGAAAAATAACATGGAATGAATCTTATAATTACATACTTATCTATTTTTCTTTTTAATCCTTTTAACAACACAAATAATAGCAATCGTAAACCTAAAATTAAAGTTATACCTGCTATTCATCATTTATTTTTGAAGTATTGTTTTTACATTCATCAGCAGCTTTGTCAAAATCTTCATTACATTTATAATCAGGAAGAATGTAAATCTTATTTTTATCAGTAATACTGTAGCTGCTTTTTTATAATCATTGGATTATCATCAATAAGATATCAAAAGTCAGAATATTTTCTCTAACTTACATCTAAAGGAAAATAACCATCATTTTCTTTGATAGTTGGAATGAATTTCAATTTATACAGAGAAAAATTATTTTCTTATTTTCAATCAAGGTCATTTCTTAGTTTTTTTAACTTCAATTTGAGTAATTTGACCATTCTTTTCCTCTTTTAACTCCTTGTTTTCCTCTTCTAGCTGCTTAATTTTTTCTTCTAAACCCTTTATCTTAGCCAATAATTACTGCTTTTGTCTCTTACTCCACTCTTCAGATTTTTCTTGAAATTTGGTTACTTTCTCTCTTTGATTTCCGATGCTTCTTCAGCCTCATTCGATTGTTCTTGTAGGGAGTTTATTTGTCTCTCATAAAAAGCAGCTTGACTTATTTCTTCATTAGGCAAGAGAGGAAGTCCCTTTTATTCCATACCTTCTTCGTATTTGACACAAAAACATCAAGGTAATGTCTAGTTTGTAATCTACTACATCTTTTGCATTTTAATAATTCATCATTTTCAAATTTTTCAGTTTTCACAAACTACATCATCCGCAACATACTTGCCATTTGTTTTTAATCGTTTTTTTCGGTCGCGTTTACTTCGACGACAATCATTTCGTCGACACCCATTTCGTCGACACCCATTTCGTCGAAAGTTTGTTTAATCGAAAGTTCATTTCATCGAAAGTTCGTTTCGACGAATGTTCATTTCGACGAAAATTATTTCATCCTCGGGCCGGAGACCGAACGAGTTAGATGTGAGGAGTGTGGGAAGTTAGTTAAGAAATTAGATGAGGAAAGCGGGGTGTGTGGAGAAATTTGTTTAATGAAGTTTTTTTTTGTGACGAAATAATTTTCGACGAAATGAACTTTCGACGAAACAAACTTTCAACGAAATGGGTGTCGACGAAATAACTGTCGACGAAATGATTGTCGACGAAATGAATCAGACCCGATTTTTATTGTAGAAGAAACAATTCCTTTTTCCCCTTCGAGTAATTGGCAAATTTAATGGCTTTATTTTTTAATTGGCTTTTTCTTGGTTCTATTTTATTGAATATTTGATCGATTTATTTATAATATAGTAATAGTAATAGAGTTGATTTTTGTAAGTTTTATAGTGAAGCAAGAAGCCAAAAAAAAGTCTGATCAACAACCCACAAAAGTTCACTATTGAATGTAAGCATTTTTTTTAGAATGTTATTATGGATGAAAATACTGTGTAAATATTTATTGATTATTTGATTGTTTTTTAAACCTATATAAAATTATGTTTAATAATGATTATTAGAAGGATTTGTTATTTGATTTTTATTGAAAACTAAATGATTTTGTGATGATTTTATAATGTTCTAATATAAGGCGGGATTATTTATCTTGTTTCAATGTCAATGAGAGTAAAATAAAGATTTATAAAACATATTCTTGAATGTAAAATTCGTTCAAACAGCGATGTTTTTTTTATTTATGAGTAATGCAATATGATGATTGTTAATTATATTTGCATAAAGGAGAATTTCCTTTGTCAGTAAAAAATAAATAATATAATAATAAGATTATTTTTCTTCTAAGGATTTCTGCTTTTTGTTAGGTAATAGATACCTTCATTCTGCTTTCTTTTCATAATGTTTATTATTTTTCTTTCTTCTTGGTAAATTTCATAGGTGATTCCCTCTTTCTTTAGATAAGTTTCCAGTTTCTAAGTATTATTTATTTTGAAAACATAAGGAGCAATTTTTTCACCTTGTTCTTTCTTCAAAATACTTCTGATAGTGCTATAATTCTTGGGTTCCATAGTAGATCTGATGTAAACGAGTTTCATATTAATTATTTTTATATAATTATGGTTCTATATATCACTTAACAAATGGGACATTATAAAACTGATTGTGATGATAATAACTAAATTTGATCCTTGAAATTCTTGGTAATACTAATGTTCACTTTGTATGGTTTTGTTGCATTATGCCCCAAATTAGGATAAGAGACTATACTACCAAGAAGTATATGCTTGGAAGACTCTATGAACTGTTCAATTTTTTTTTTTGTTATTTGGACATTTACTCGACTGGTAATAAAAAGTAAGTGATCGCCAATAATTTGTGTCACCATGAAATTTTGCACCAATAGCATACAATTTGTAGATCCAAAATTGATTACACGATATAAAACTTAATTCGTTTTTTCTACTAAGCAAACAGAACATGATATTATAATTTTTTATGTTATAGATTAATATTATGATGTAAGTAAAACAAGTTTCGTCAAATGACCTCAGAAGCGGTTTTCAGTTTTAGACTTGCGCAAAATTATTTTAAAAAAGGTATCCAGCCTACAACCTCCCATTTTTTTTATTAATAGATTAAAAATCACAAATTCGGTCAGATGACCTTGGATGCCCAATATAAAACTCTGTCTGTACGTGACCGTCTGATCGTATTAATGCGAACCTCGAAAGTTGATCGGTGATTTTTTCTGTTTAGGTAATGAATGATTTACGAAGACTAATTAAAATGTATTAGTGACCAGTCTCTATGATAGCATTTTTTCCATTTCGAGTTTCCTTTTGGGTCACCCTTCACTCTTTTTTTTTTCAAAGAACTTTTGCAATATAAAAAACAAACTACTTCTTACATTGGAAAGATTTACATTTTAACTATTGATGACGTAACCATTATCACGCCACTTTTCCATATAGAAGTGCTTTATGACATTTTCATGACGAATTGATAAACTATTACTATATTTGTTTTAATTAAACTGTTTATCTATTATTATTATAAATACTATGCAATGAATACATTTTTTACAATGCCGAAAAATTTGGTAAAAAAGGAATTTTTTTGACAAAAATAAAGTATGTTTTTATCATTCGTATGATTATTTATTTTCATAATTTACTAATGCAAACCTAAATACAAAAACAATTATTTAATTTTTACATCGAAGCATGTCTATTGGAGGTTCTATTCTCGTTGGTAATAAAAATATTGATGGTAATTTTGTAGAAGATCGTAATGAGCAACATTTTGAAGGCCTTGATTTTAGAATTAAAATCGAAACCCTGCCCAATGAAGATTATAGTGCAAGATTATTTTTTATAAATAAAAATGATGATAATGAAATTCCGATTCCTGATGGGATAGTTTGTAAAGATGTTACACTTAGAAACGAAGTCATCAAATACCCATTACCTTTAACTAATTATTTTTTAATTAATCATCCTCTCAAATATCAAATAACCTATAAGGGTGAAAAGATATATCAACTAAATTCTGAAAAAAAGATAGTAGTGCATAATTTTAAAAAAAAACATAAGGATAAGGATATGGTGGATCTAATTAAAAATCTAAAATTAGAAGATAAATAATTTTTGTTTTTAATTATTATATTTTATGTATTTTATTTATACATTGTTATTTTTATGAATAAAGATTATTTTTTACATATAAAAAAGTTTGTTATAATTAATAATGATGATGACTATGTTTAATGGAAATTTTATGCATGTGATTATAATATAACTTTATCACTGTTCATTTTTAATACATTACATTCAGTCAATTGAAAAACTTTTATTTGTCATAAATAATTTATCAAAATCATGTGCTTAGAGAATTCAATCACAAACTGACCAGGGATAAAATCAAGATTTACTTATTTAACAACCATTTAAATCATAATAACCATGCAATGTGTTTGGATTTAGCATTAGCAGTTGCTCAAGATGTGCACTATTCCTTGTTTTCTTGTTATTGATTAAACAGCTTTAACTATGCATTTCCATTAATGTGCATAAAATTTATACAGGCTACACTATTCCTAAGAATAAAAAAAATTTTGGTTCAAAGTCTCATGAAAAATACAGGGTCCAATGTATTTCTTTGGAGTTATGACTAACAACTAGTTATCCTTGGATTATTATTTAAATTGAAAAGGCTACAATGGAAGAAATGATAGAGATGTTATAGAAATAGAAAGATAACAAACATGAGAAAGTTCTTTAAAATATTCACAACATTTTCCAAGCTAAAAGAATTGATTATAAACTGCTTATCAAAGCAAGCAAGTAAATAAATTGCATTATTGATTTATAATTTGACATTCATCTGATTTTTTATTACAGCAGAAGTATTAACAAATTCAATTCAACAACAACTTCCAAATTGTAATGAATTTTGACCCAATGTTGTGAGTGATGGAATTCACAACTGACATGCTAGCAAAGATTTCATTCATCTTCACCTCCTTTATTATTGGAAAGGTGTAATTTTCTTAATGATCTTATTGAGTATTAACAATACTAAGGATTATGACAACATGCTAAATAAAATTGCATATGGGGTATGCTGCAACAAAACCAAACAAAGTGAAAATTGGTGTTACCAGATTTCAGGGATCAAATGAGGAAACTAAAAATAGAGGTTCCAGGAAGATGGAGAAATTTGTCATTAATTAATATAAATGAGCAGGATTTAATTTAGTAAAAACAAATAAATACCAAATGTCTACCTACTTATATAACCATTCCTGTTAATATTCTAGGAATTTTAATCACATTTTTTCTTTTTTATGATGTTCATGCATACATGTATATAAAATTAAAAATCCATCATATTTGTAATTTAAATTTTAATTAAAAGGAATAAAACTAATATTTGTATATACATGACAAACAATCAAAAGTTTCTTCATGTGAAAGAGTGAGCATTTTGAACTCTCTTTCCACAAGATCAAAATAAACAATATAAATATAATTTCCTCATATCTTTCTATCTACTTTCAATACATCATGGGATCTTTTAATGTTCTAATTTACTATTCTTTGTGCAACAATTCAGGGTTTACATTTTTCCTTAGTTTATGGGTTCAATTCTGCAATCTCACATGGTAGTAAATGATAAACATTAAAAATGTTCAGGATAATTAATTAAGCAACTATTATAATAAATGTTTATTTTTAAAATTACAATTTTCATATAATATTAAATCAATTAATATATAGATAATTAAATCCAATCAAGGTTTCTAGTTCTAGATCTAGAACAAGATCTGGATGAATGAATTGGAGTTGTGTGCTAAAATGACTAGTAACATGATACATTTCTAAATTTTGTCCTTCTATTGTATATTTTTCAGTTGATCCTTCTTGTTCTTCCGGTTTTCCTTCACTATTGTCATCATCAAATTTGTATTTTTGCTTTAACAATTCAATGTTCTTTTTTATATATTTTTTTATAAAATATGATTTTTCAAAAAATTCTATAAATGATGATTTGCTGCATGTTGTGAACAATGGTATTTTGATTTTTACTAGAGGGATTCAACAATATGCTGGATAGATGAACCTTTGGTCTACTAAGTAAAAAAATAATTCATCACCTATATAATATATTAATATTAATACATAGATAAACTTGATAAGTCGGACACTCGATAAGTCAGTTTTGGCCTAACTCAGACAAAAATTTCCAGCCCTTTTTTTCTATATTTAAAATTTCTTGACAAGTCAGACACATATATAAACTCTTGTTAAGCTGTAAGTCGGACAACTCCTCCAGCCAGATAATAATAAATGACTCTCGATAAGTCGGTTCACGTGATTTTCATAAATCTTGAGAGATAATCTTTACTATTTTTAGTAATGTATGATCCAATAAATTTCTGTAATAATAATTTCGTCATTATTCATGATAAATGTTGAGAAAAAACAGGTATTCTACCTGATAATGAAGCTGATCGACCTATTACTATGGAAGTTGATCCTGAAATAGATGAAGTACGATTACTTATTGATCAAATCAATGTTAATAATGATAATATTATTACAGCAAAAAGTTACATTGAGATTGATTCTCATTTAGGAACTGAAATGCTTGATGATGATGAAATTATTGCAACAGTTCAAGAAGCACATAAAGAAGAAGATATTTGCCCACCAATACCTAATAAAATCGCTTTAGAAAGCATTCAAAATCTATATAATTACTTGCAACAGAATAATGATATACAAGTAAATAGTTCATTTGTTTCAGGATTAAAAGATTTAAAATGGAAAATTATTTAGTGATGGTAGTCGAAACTGTTTTGAAAAAAAGATAGTTTGTCCAATAAGTATCTAAATCAATCTACTTTATTTTAAAAACTCCCAATTTCAGCCATTAAAATTAGTTTCGTCCAAGTTTAGGCCAATTAATTTCAGCAATCAAGTGTAGTTTCAGCCACCATCACTAGTTTGAATTGAGTTGAGTTGAATTAGTTCGAATCAAATTATACATTCGATTCAGTTCAAATCAAAATGAATCAAATCAAATTATATATATTTAATATTTGAATTGAATCAGGGTGCAATTCGAATTGATTCAAATCAGTTTGAATTTCATTGATTCGTTCAGAGCCTTAGGTTTTGGCCAATTGTTGATAAAATTTCATTATCACTACTTTGCCACTATTTTATGATAAATAGATGTGTTAAAATTTTTTAAATTTACTGAAATAAATATATAATTGTAGTTACTTGTCTTAATTTTTCATATGCAGTTGTTGTAGAGATGTTTGCTAATGGGTCAATATCATGCCATCCAAATTGTTTTATTGATTCAATAATTTTAAATGATAATACATGACTTTTTGTAAAGTCATCATTGATTTTGTTCATCAAATTTATTAGAAGTTCAATAGCAATTGTTTCCTTCTGAGAAAAAGAAACAAAAAAGATATAAGCATAATGTTAATAAAATCATTTTTAATTAAATATCTAAAGTCTGTAGTCTTATAGGATAATTTTCATCTCGCAATTTCATTAAAAGAATAAAAAATATTTAAATACTTTCCTCAGCAATTGGTTCTTCATACTTTTTGTTTTCATACTTCATCCTGAGGTATAGAAAAGCCTTTGAAGTCTCTATTTTCAAGCTCTCATAGTTAAGGTAATCAATAATACCATAAAATAAATTGTAAATAAAATATTCATAGTAACTGAAGGTTCTTTTTTTATAAATAAAATAACTTTCGTATTTTTGATGTGCTTTTGAATCGTATGTTTGAAAAAAACTATCAAATGTTGTTGCACTCAAATCATCACTAAATATTGATTCTTTATTAAAGTAATCAACTCTATTAATCTTACAAAGACATAAAAATTCTTATTTGTTATCATTATCATATTCATTACCCTATGTTTAGTTCTTTCCCTCAAACAATAGTAATGATTATCACAAACGTTTTCTTTATCATTTGTACTTTCCCTTAAATTAAATTTACAAGTTAATTAGAATTTCAATTGCAATCACCATTTTTTAACTATATATATACTTGTTTCCTAGTCAGCGGTAGTTTTCGAAGGTGTAAAACGTAAAATTTGTGCCACGGTTTATCCTTGATTGGTAAACTGTAATAGCAACCAGTAAGGATTGTTATATTGGATATTGGATTAATATTTAAGTCATATTTTGGTACATGATTGACTGGGTAAGACAGGGATTACAGTTAAGAGGAGATGTTCAACACTTATTTTTGATAAAGTATTTTAATTCAGACACGTGTGTATAAATAATTTGGTATTGTTTAACCATAAGCATACTAATACCCCCGTGAAATATTTTCATTTCACAATATATTAATATTATTATTTATTTACACATATTATTTATTATAAATTAAGCAATAAATGTTTTCAGATAAAATCATTTTTTTCTACTATTGGTTTTTGGTTTTTTTGATGATTTTTGAGAATCAAAAAATTCATAATCTTCTTCCTGAAAATTTGTTCTTTCTCTTAAATGTTTTTTGAAACCATCATCACTTACAAAATTAATTTTATTTAAGATTTCTTTATCCTAAGCTGATAAAATAGTAAATCATAAGATAAGTTGTCTTAGTTGATAATCATATTACAATCTGTGAGAAAACATACCTTTGCAATTAAAACTTCGTTAACCATTGTAATTAATTCATCCACTTCTAGTAGAGTTGATGGTATTTTTGTTCTGCAAGAACTTCGAAGTCTGCAAACATAACCAGCTGGAACATCCATGACATGTATTTTAAGATGTTGAGCTTGTAACATAGTGGACACTAATCAATATGCATGAAAAATATGAGAAAATCAATTGATTGTAAAAGATATTTACCAGCATGGTGAAATCCAATTATTTCAATATGATTTTTTTTTACAAAATCAATTCCAACTTTATTAATTTTTTGCTGAATCATGTCTTTCATGATTTTTGGAGCCTTTAAGCCTCTATCCAACAAATATTTACTAGCTGTCTCTCCTTCCCAATTTTTTCCTTCTTCACTTAATGCAAATTCATCAATTGATCCTAGTACCCTACCTATTCCATCACATCTTCTTCCAAACTGCATTCTTATATTAGTGTTGTCTCTACCGCGATTTTCTCTCTCACTTGAAGCCCTCGAGCATCCCTCACCACTAGAAAGCAATTTTCTTATATATAAGGGGGATTATATAAGTGAATATTTAAAAAGCACAAAGAAAATGCTCACCGGATAAATTCTAATTCTTCAATATCTACAAGACATAAATCAATTATCACACTCCAGATGTTGGTTAGATACCAACCTTCTATATGTGAACTTGTAAAGTCTTTCTGACGAAGCTCATATCTTGGAAGGCTAATAGCAAAAAAATAATGAGTTGAAAAAGATACTGATGATATTTATGTTAAAAATATACTCAAGCACTCACAGATTTGAGAAGACCTGATGTACGTAATGATGATTATAGTGTTTTCTTGCATCATAAGATACAATATTTAATCCTGAGTTGATAACTTCTCGCATTTGATGAGTTTCAACCTAAAGAAAAAGAAGTGCTTTAAAATTATATATTGATCTTAAAGATAACTGAAAAAAAATAAAATAGTATCCACCTTTCTATATTTAAATATATGATTCATCAGATCGTCATCAATTTGTGGATTAGATGATAAATTGTGACTTGTTATATAACACCAATCCTCATCTTCAAATAATTCTTTTATATTCTTGTTCTCGGTATCGATAATAAAACTATGAGTTGGACTAGTATAACACAATTGTAAAATCAGAACATTATCATGAGAATAAATATTCTTAGATCAACTTAAATACAAACCTCTCATAACTTAAATTTTTGGCATATTCAAAAATGATATCTTCAGCATATTTATTTGATGGTAGTTGCCATTTCGATTGTCTCTTCATTTGGTTATATTTACCAACAAAATCATTGATCAATTCGGTATTCATTATATTTTCCTTTTTAAACAAAGTTAAATAACACAATTTGTAGAAATAATCATTATACAGAGTTTTGTTCAGCTGTAACAGCTACCTGTTGGGAATATTGAGCATCATCGTTTTCATTGTTTTCATCATTTACAAGTATGTTTCTGTCATCATCAACAATAAAATAATCAATTTGACATGAAAATTTTTAATTCATTAGAGTATATATATATGACTACCATTGTCATTCTTTTAAAAATAACTAGAGTGACGACAAGTGGCGGGCGATAACCACCACCACCATCCTTAAAACACTTATTCGCTTCTTTCAAGAATGTCGTCTCCACGTCTTCTTTTATTCGAACCTTGAGACATTTTTTTAAAAAAAAAATTTTTAAAATACCGTAAAGTCTGGAAAGATAGCACCCCTCGAAAGATAGCACCCCCTACTTTAAAACAATTGAGCGTCAATATAAAAAAAATGTTACACATATGTAAAAAGGGGATG